GAGCATGTTTTGGTGTAACGGGGATTCGAACCCGCGACCCTCAGATTGTGAGTCGAGTGCCGTAACCACCTGGCCATGCCGGGCCAAATAAAGGAGTACAATGTCTGATTTCAAGTTTTGGCTTTGTTACAACTCGTGGCTTTTCATTACGTTCAAAGGTCCTGGCATGACTTATTTGTTAAACCACATGAATGAGGGTAGCGGAATCAAATTCCACCGCCGAACAACCTCGTCCTTTTAGTTGTGGGAGCGCTATAATGTAACAGTCAATTCCACTTTTCCTTATTATGAGATTAACCCAAGAGTTGATGATGGATGTTGTCTATTAGCTGCCTTTTCTGTAGTCTATCACTTCAAAATTAGGATTTTGTCTTCGAGTAGCTATGCACGAAATTCAAACCAAACAAACAGACAAAACCATGTTCAGTTATTCGTGTATTGAAAGGCTGTGAAAAGTCTCCTGTGACCCACCGGAGGATTACATCCGAATCTAGAACATTTAATATTTATTTGAGAATGAGCGAGTGCACGATTTATTACCTCTATACTACAGTATTTTAGAGTATTACAAAACTATACTATTTTTACAACACTATGTACAGTCATTATTGTTGTAGTCAAAATAAAAAGAAAAATCATATTATCTTAGTAAAAATAAAACACACAACAAAAACTCGGCTATCTACGTGAATAACTCGTATATATGTTCTTTAGACATTTCTTCTTTTCACACTCTCAACTAGACACTCTATTTAGAATGACAGCTAGATACTACCTATTTATACTTTATTCAAGATACAGCTTAGTTACAGAGACTAATCTTCTTGACTACAACTAAGATACAGCTTAGTTGCAGAGACTAATCGTCTTGACTACAACTAGGATACAGCTTAGTTACAGAGACTAATCGTCTTGACTACAACCAAGATATAGCTTAGTTACAGAGGCTAATAGTCTTGACTACAACCAAGATACAGCTTAGTTACAGAGACTAATCGTCTTGATTATGACCAAGATACAGCTTAGTTACAGAGGCTAATAGTCTTGACTACAACCAAGATACAGCTTAGTTACAGAGACTAATCGTCTTGATTACGACCAAGATACAGCTTAGTTGCAGAGACTAATCTTCTTGACTACAACTAAGATACAGCTTAGTTACAGAGACTAATCGTCTAGACTACGACCACGGTACAGCTTAGTTATAGAGACTTATCGTCTTGACTACGACCAAGATACAGCTTAGTTACAAAGACTAATCTTCTTGACTACAACTAAGATACAGCTTAGTTACAGAGACTAATCGTCTTGACTACGACCAAGATACAGCTTAGTTACAGAGACTTATCGTCTTGACTTCGACCAAGATACAGCTTAGTTACAGAGACTAATCGTCTTGACTACAACTAAGATACAGCTTAGTTACAGAGACTAATCGTCTTGATTACGACCAAGATACAGCTTAGTTACAGAGACTAATCGTCTTGACTACGACCAAGATACAGCTTAGTTACAGAGACTAATCTTCTTGACTACAACTAAGATACAGCTTAGTTACAGAGACAAGTCACATTGATTACTGTTACAACAACGGAAGTCACGTGATGCTGCTCGCGCATGCGTGACTGAGTTTCTCGAATATACAGGAAACTCCTCGAATTTTTTCGAGGCCTCTTTGTTAGTATATAAGCCTGACAGTGAAAAGCCAGCGGGATTGAATGTACTGTTAGGACAGCGGAAGTCACGTGACGCTAGTAACACGTCATGAGATTCTAGAAGGATCATGACTCTTCGTAGCAGCTCTACGCGCCCTCTATTCTATATATAAGCCCAACAAATAAAGCAGAGAGGGGTGAGTGACGGCATGAATAATAGCAGATTGAAGGGAGATATAGAGACAGATAATCGAGTCAAGTCGTAAGTAAAGTGCGTGAATTGTTGTGAATTATAGCGTGTGTTAAAGTTAAAGTGACTGTGAAATTTAAATGTATTGCAAAGTTGTATTGAGAAAGAATAAACTAGTTTTATTTAAAAAAAGGACTTGTATTGCTGAAGTTCTTCGAAAAGAATTTTTACGGGAAATTAACAAACGACCAGAGACGTAACAGTATAGTTAAGCGAACAGTAGTTTCGGGCTAGTGTGTGTTTTTCACTCGTAGAGAGTGAAGTTATCGAAATTGTGAATCGCTGTGATTTATAGTGTGTATTAAAAAAGTTGTTAAGTTTAAAGAATTTCTTCCGGAAACAAACAAACAAGCAGATACATAACAAATTGGTGTCAGAGAGTGGGATGGAAAAGGGGGAAAAGATGGAAAGGAGAAGTGGCAAATCAAACTACAACTTAGCAGATTTGGTGGCAGTAATACAAGAACAACAACAAGAAGAACGAGAAAATAAACAAAAAGAGAGACTACAGCAGTAGATGGAGGAGAAAGAAAAGAAACAAGAAGAACAAGAAAAGAAACAAGAAGAGAGACAACAGCAGTGGCAAGAAAACCTGCAACAGTGGCTGTTTGAACAGCAAAACAAACAAGAGGAGAGATTACAGCAATTCTTGGATGAAAAGAAAAAAACAAGAAGAACGAGAAAATAAACAAAAAAAGAGAGACTACAGCGTGGTTGGAGATAAAAAAGAACAAGAACGAGAAAATAAACAAAAAGAGAGACTACAGCAGTAGTTGGGGAGAAAGAAAAGAAACAAGAAGAACAAGAAAAGAAACAAGAAGAGAGACAACAGCAGTGGCAAGAAAACCTGCAACAGTGGCAGTTCGAACAGCAAAACAAACAAGAGGAGAGATTGCAGCAGTTCTTGGAGGAAAAGAAAAAACAAGAAGAACGAGAAAATAAACAAGT